GTCAACCACAGGGTCCAACTATTAACATCTGGGATGTATCTATTATCCCTCCTACATAAAGATACAGTATAATAGATAATTAAGCTTCTGAATGACTGCATGTGCAGTATTCTGGTTTGTCCAGTTCTCTTTGTGATTTGATCCAGAATCATTTCCTTTCACTGAATGCTTAGAAAAAGAGGAAACCAAGGTGGCATCCCGATCTTAATTTCAAATACACAGGAAAACTCTGAGGAAATCCCTTTTATGCCTCAGGCTTTATGTAAAGAAAAAAACAGAAAACTAAAATTTCATGTTGTTCATATCCTGTATATATGTGTATAGCAGATGTTTGTTCAGATACAAAACTGATGTCTCTGCTAAGTTGTAGCACAGAAAAATGACCATAGAAACCTACAGTCATATTGTTTTAGTTTATGAAAAGTCTAGACAACCATTTTAAAAATAAACAAATTCGAACACAGAGGACTAGATCCTCATCTGATGTAAATCAGTGTTGCTCCTTTGAACTCAATGGAATGACACTGGTTGACACAAGCAGCGTCTGTTGCAAAAACATGGGGAAGATAAAATACATTATGATTATTTAATATCTTATTGCAGTAGCATGTAGACACCCCAACTGAAACCAGGACCCCATTTTTCTGGGCACTATGCAGACATCCATTAAGAAACAGTTCCCGCCCCAAAGAGCTTACAGACTAAATAATGTAATATTGTTTTTTATTGTTTCTTTTTAACAAAATATAAACACAAACAGATAAGAAAAATCAAGATATGTAATAGAAACCATTTGATTTATATGGTAACAAGCATGCCAAGTGATCATGTCACATCATGTTTATAAAATGAAATGACCGTGTACTTTTGGCCATAAATGTTAATAAAAAAGAAGGCATATCTTGTTAAATATTTCCAGTGTATCTTTCAGTCTGAGAGATGCTCTGAAGTGCAGCCAGCTCATTCATGGCTGGGATTCCAATAAACTATTTTTGGTAAAAAATGATATCTTACGTTTGTATAGTGCCTTTTACCCAGAAGGGTCCCTAAGAATTTTGCCAGTGCTGTGTAGAGTTCACTACACCCATTACTTCAAGAGGCAGTGTAATTTACTGGAAAAGGCACCAGACGAGGAGTTAGGACAGTAGGGTTTCATTCCTGACTGCTGCTGATGTGCAACCTTGGGAAGTCATTTCACGCCCCGCGCCTCTCTCACCCTTTGTCTGTCTTGTCTATAGAGACAGTGAGAGCTTCATGGAAGGAACTGGCTCTCACTATGTGTTTGTGCAGGGCGTAGCACAATGCAGACTCAATCTTGGGCCTCTAAGTGCTACTGAATTACTAATAATTATATACGAAAATTATGTGAAAAGGATATTAAGGTTGCAAGTCAAGCACTCAAACGTTAGGAAATGCCACAGTTAGGGTTGCTTGTGCAGCCTTAATTTATTACCCTTGTGCATATGCATAACAAGAGTCTTTAATTACATGATCACATACTATTTTTCCACAGACATCTGCTTCATTCAGTGTGTGGTCCTACGCCAAGTTTACTGCATACTATCTAAACCCTGCACTCAATACAGAATTGTTCATTTCCTCCTAGACATTTCTATGGTGCTCTCTCTGTAGTGTATGAGTGCTCCAGAAACATTAATAAATTTATCTTCACAATGCATTGGTATTATCAGCCCCCTTTTACAGATGGGGAGCTGAGGCATTGAATGACTGAGGCTGAAATTGTCAGAATTGTCCATTAATTTTGGGTACCCAACCTGAGATGCCTGTGGGCAGATTTTTCAGAGGACATAGTATTTTATAGTACTTTGTTCACAGCACAGCTCCAGTGGACTTCAGTTGTAGTTGTGAGCATTCAGCAGATCTGCAAATCTGATCTTTGGTGTCCTAAGTTCAGGGCACCCAGAAAATAAGGAACACACAATTTCATGGCCACCCACAAAAACTGTTGTTTTTGGTGGCTTGCCCAGCATCACAGCCTTTTCTCTGAGTGAAGACATGGCCTCACAGAAAGTGCCAAGCAATCCTTAATAACCACAAGTGGTCATGGCTTCAGCTTTACATCTTACCCTTGAAAAAACAGTACTGAGGTGGCATGGCTGAGTGCCATAAAGATATCCATAAGAACATAAGAACGGCCACACTGGGTCAGACCAAAGGTCCATCCAGCCCAGTATCCTGTCTACTGACAGTGGCCTATGCCAGGTGCCCCAGAGGGAGTGAACCTAACAGGTAACGATCAATCATCATTTGTATGATTCAAAATTCTGCTGTCATTGCAATCATCCTTCACTGCAATCCAAGTCATTTGCTAAAGAAAAGTTTCCTTGTAATAAATATACAGAGTGACTGGGTGAATCCAAATATGTAAAACATGCATTCCAATTAACACTTCATCCAAGAAGGCTCATTTATGATTTGTGCATTCTCAAAGTATCCGTACCATTGTTCCAAATTGTCTTTCACTTCTCCTGCATGTCTTACTTGTACTGAAACAGATTTCCATCCGATCTTTTGCAGTTTCAGATACACTATAATGATCAGTTACACCCTCATGCTTCAGTTGGATCCACATGGACGTATAGGTCTGTCCGCAGGGATCCAATGGCAGGACTGGGGCCTCAACTCGCATGTAGTGATTGGCAGAAATATAAATGGGGGATGGGATGGAGTTGTTATGTTTTTGGATAAAGAAAAGAGAAGAAATAAATGGGTGGGGGAAGGGAAATTAAACCAAAAATACAGTTTGAGATTACCCTCTGACAGAGAAAGGAATGAGTCACTTTCTTGGACGAATGAGGTCACCCAAAGGATTTAATGCCTTGATAACTTTAGAAAATATCTACAATTAAAGCAAGCCATGTTTCCCCCCTGCTCTAAGGTTCAATCCACTACAGTTTGATCTGTTTCCTCTTTTAAGAGAGAAACAACCACAAAATTAAGGAGCCCTAAATCACAGCTCTTAACCGGTGAGTAAAACTGGAAAGCCTGGGAATTATACAATTGACATGAAACCCTTTCTTCCATAGCCGCCTCTTTTCCCACTCTCCTTCCTTACCCTTTTTGTTATGCATTATTTGTATTATGGTACTGCCTAAAGCAGTGGTCCCCAAAATTTTTACCTCATGCCCCCCCTTATCCCTGTCCATGCCCCCTCCCTGAGCTGAGGCCAGGAGTGGGGCTGCGGCTCCTGGAGGGCTGGGGTGGGGGGGGGGAGAAGACATGGGCAGGGGTAAGGGATCTGGGAGCCATGGCCAGCAGCCGTAGCCAGGAGCAGAGCTGGGTGATGCTCCCTCTCCGCCCCCCGAGGGGCTGGCCTGGGCCCAGCTGCGCCTCCCCAAACATTCATCCATGCCCCCCGTAGAAGGGCACGCCTCACAATTTGGGGACCTAGAGACTTGGGCTCTATTGTGCTAGGGGACCATAAAAATACATATTAAGAAACAGCCCCTGCCCTGTCTAAATAGACAAGATAGACAAAGGATGGGAGGGAAAAAAATTAATCCCCATGTTACAGATAGAGAAACTGAAGCACAAAGAGATGAAGGGCATGTCTACACTGCCATGGCAGAGCTACAGCTTCAGCAGCATTGCTGTAGCATTGTAGTGGAGATGCTTCTTACGTTGATGGAAGGAGTTTTTCTGTCGCTGTAGTATGCTACGCCTGGCTCATGAGACAGCTCATGGAACACATCACAGGACATTGACAGTACCACGTCGAGTAACCGAGAACGCTGACCAGGGAAATAACCCACTTCCTTCCCTGACGAACCGAGGGACGCACCCCACCCATGTACTTATTCTCTACACCAATACTGACTCAGACTCTTAATACATTCCATGGGTGGCATACCCGAGCCCATTTATCCACTGATGCACTAAAAACTCCCACACCCCAATCTGGATCTATGCTGGCATTGTGATATGTATGTACCTCGTGAACCTTGTAACCGATACTTGCAATCCCCCATAACCCAAGCCAAACCCCAGATGTACAGTACCTTCCCTCTTAACTTGTGTAAATTTGATTTTAAACATTAACTTTAATAACATTTTTAAATCTGCCTCTCTTAGGGTGGGAGGTAGGTCGGCGGAAGAATTCTTCCGTCAAGCTAGCTAGCTGAGCCTGCAGGGGGGATAGGTAGGTCGACCTAACCATGTTGCACAAGGGTGTGACATTTTTCTAGGTCGATCTAATGCTGAGGCATGGCCCGGGCCTAAGTGATTTCCCCAAGGTCACCAGAGGGTCTGTGGCAGAACCATGCCACGATCCCATATCACCTGAGTCCCAGTCCAAAACTTTAACCATGCACAACAAAGCCCTCTCCTGGCCTACCACCAACACAACACCTCTCCCACCTAGAGGGGCACTGTGGTGTGGGACAGAGGGGCACATAGGGTTTTTCTCTCTCAGAATCATAGAATATCAGGGTTGGAAGGGACCTCAGGAGGTCATCTAGTCCAACCCCCTGCTCAAAGCAGGATCAATCCCCAATTTTTGTCCCAAATGGCCCCCTCCAGGATTGAACTCACTCACAACCCTGGGTTTAGCAAGCCAATGCTCAAACCACTGAGCTATCCCTGTGGGGCTCGGGCTCTTTGTCACAACTCCCTCTCATTCGCCCTTCCTCCCAAACACAACCCTCTCTCACCCCCACTAGCCCCCTTCTTCGGAAACTCACAGCAGCGAGTGAGCCGCCCCCCGACCCACCCCTCTCTGCAGACCCCTTCCCCCCTCCCCCCCGGGGACCGTGACAACAAAGGAGGCGCTGGCTGGCTGGCTAGGTGCAGAGCCACGGCACAGCCAGCGGGGCGGGGAGCCGAGGAGGAGGAGGAGGAGCAGCTGTGACTCAGCAGCCAGCCCCGTGCAGCTCCCCCCGCCCCCGTGCAGGCAGCAGCCAGGGCTTGCCTGTGTGTGCGGGCAGCGCAGCAGCGGCAGCGCGAGCCGGCGGGGCTGCGCGAGCGCGTGGGGCGGGAGCCGCGGCCGGCGCCGCGCGTGGAAGCCCCTCTCCCGGAGCGGCAGGGCGCAGCGCGGGAGGAAGGTGCCTTGTGTGGCAGCTCAGGGGCAGAGCCGCCCAGAGGGGCGAGGTAGGTGTCTGGGGCTGGGGCTCGCGCTCTCCTTTGCATTGCACACAAAGACGCGCTGCTGGGGGCTGGTTGGGGGTGTGTGTGTGTGTGCGCATTGGATTGGGGGGAAATAAAACCCAGGGGTTTTGTTTTCTAAAGGGAGGCTCAGGGCCGGGGGGGAGGGAAGCCCCCTCCTTTCTCCCAAATTGTCCTAACTTAATGAATAGCAAAGACAGATATTTAAACCGCCCCCCCCCCCCCCGCCGCCGCCGCCTTGTGCTGGAAATCTGCTCGTGTGAGTCAGGGAAGCGGCAGCTCCAGGGCTTTCACTGAGGAAAAGTTCCCTCTGGCAGCCCCATGTGGGGTGCAAATGCCGTAGGGTGCGATCAAGGGAGCTGAGCTGGGGGTGGGGGGCAGAGTGAGTGCCCCTTCTCTGCTCCCAGAGAGAAAACGAACAGGGTCTCTGTGCCTCGGTTGTAGGGTTTTTCGTAAGTGCGATAAAAAGGGAATTAAAAAACAAAAACCTCACGGAGAGTTAATTGTTCCTGTAAAAGGAAGGATGCATCGTGCTCAGTGAATCATGTGGTTCCCTGGACAGATACTGAGCTAAGTCTGGGTCTGAAATCAGGGTTCTTGGCCATGAGGCATTTTTAATCTGGAGCAGAACAGTTGTGTGTGTTTCCAGATAATGGTAGGTTTCCCCTGCATTTGGCTACCGCGCTTTTTTTGAGCTTGTGGGGTATCTTTGTTCGCCAGCATGTGTCTCCGAAGTAACTTCTTCTGGTGACTATTTCCTGAGTCTCTTTCCAGCGTCTCTTCTCTGTGTTAACAGTTCATTGCTGTGCCATACAGCTCCTGTCTGCTAAAGGAAGGTGTGTGCTGCTTGCATCCTCTTTCCATTATTCACAGACGTCTAACATGTCTAGGAATGTATGTATGTGTCCTTGGATAGACAATCAGAGATACTGTAGGGTGGCAAGACCGATTAGATCATCCTAGCATTGCAGAATTATTCCCTATATTGTCTACCTTTTAAAATGTGAAAATAGTGTTCAGCCTTGAGATTCTGATGGGTAGGAGGATGGGCTGTGAATGTCCTGGGCCAGTCATACCAAACCTATGGTAAAAAATTGTGTAGCAAACCACAGAGATTTGTTCTTTCTTTTTCTCTCTCCTTGGTTCCAACTCTTACAGTTTATGATTTTGTCAAAATTCCCCCTAGTTGCCTTGAGGCTGTAATCTACTAGATTTTCATAGTGCTTTGGGTTAAAACCCTGTACAAAAAGTTAACAGCCCAGATATATTTTTGCTAATAAAATCTGTGTGTTCATTTGATTGAGAGTGTAGGGGGAAGGATATATGTATATATATATATATATATAACTTTACATATAAAGTTTTTACTCCTGTTACATCATTTGATATTGGGTCATCAGATATATGTAGTCTGACTAGTATACAATACATGTGTGCTTGACTGGATTGTTAGGGTTTGTGGGACAAGGCACAGGATCTCAGTTCTGTGTAATGAATCTCATGCCTGAAAGTTTTAGTATACGTGCATGTATGTTTGTAGCAAACTCTCAGGAATGGGACAGGAACACATGAACATTTGGTTTCACTGAGACTTTGTATAGTAAAATTAAAACACAGTAAAGAGAGAGGTATTTCTGAATGACATAGCTAGGGCCCTACCAAATTTGTGGCCATGAAAAACACGTCATGGACCATGAAACCTAGTCTTTTGTGTGCTTTTACCCTATACTATACAGATTTCACGGGGGAGACCAGCGTTTCTCAAATTGGGAGTCCTGACCAAAAGGGAGTTGCAGGAGGGTTGCAAGGTTATTTTGGGGAAGGGGGGGGGTGGGTGTTTCATGGTATTGCCACCCTTACTTCTGCACTGCCTTCAGAGCTGAGCGGTCGGAGAGCGGCAGATACTGGGTGGGCACCCAGCTCTGAAGGCAGTGTCCTGCCCGCAGCAGCGCAGAAGTAAGAGTGGCAATACCGTACCATGCCGCCCTTACTTCTGCACTGCTGCCTTCAGAACTGGGCGGCCGGAGAGTGGCGGCTGCTGACTGAAGGCCCAGCTCTGCAGGCAGCAGCGCAGAAGTAAGGATGAGAATACCATATTATCCTTACTTCTGTGCTGCTGCTGGCAGTGGCTCTGCCTTCAGATCTGGGCTCCTGGCCAGCAGCCACCGCTCTCCAGCCTCCCAGCTCTAAAGGCAGCACTGCCGCCAGCAGAAGTAAGGGTAGCAGTACCGCAACCCCCCCTACAATAACCTTGTGTTCTGCCCCCCCCCCCCCCCACTCAGGTCATTTTGGGGGGCGGTCATTTTTGGGTCATGACTCCTACAATTACAACACCATGAAATTTCAGATTTAAATAGTTGAAATCGCAAAATTTGCTATTTTAAAAACCCCGTGACTGTGAAATTGACCAAAATGGACTGGATTTTGGTAGGGCACTAGATATAGCTGCTGTATATAGTCAAGGATTGTTCTTTGAGTCACTTTTGGCAGTAGTGCTATTATACTTTTGGGAGGGGGCGGGTATTTTTACAAGCTGATACATGTGATAGCAAAGTCTGTGTACATTTGCTAAGGTGGCAGATTTTTAAAATAAAATTGCCTAATGTAACAGCCAGGCTTAGAACAGTTTGGGTGAGTAAGTCAAAGGTGCAATTCAATGTATTTTTGTATAGCATGATGCATATAAGGTATCGATGCTTCTCAGCGAGGTCAAGGAGCAGTATTGGTTTACAGAGTTGGGTACAGTGTTCTTCAGAAGAACAGAGGCAGAAAAGCGATATACAAAGATGGAGCAGAGGAAGAAACAGTCAACAGATATTTTTGTATGTTAGCTACAAGAAGGGGAAGATGGAAGGATGTAACAGTGTGGCTGAGAATCAGTCCTAAGCTAAATGAAAAAGGGCGGTGTAAAACTGAGTTCAAGCAAGCGTCTCTTCTTTAAGGAAGGCCATTCTAGATAGATGGGACGATTTAAGGGAAAGGGGGACTCTATCTTAGGTACTTTTTTGGCCTCCCCTTAGTAAAGTATGTGAGCAGCTCACAATCTTTTAATTTATTGATCCTCACAACATCCCCGTGGAATAGGAAAGTGCTATTTTTTCCCATGGGGAACTGAAAGGCAAAGAAACTAAATGACTTACCCAATGTCACAGAGGAAATTGGTGGCGGAGCAGGTCTCCCAATTCTTAGGCTGATGTCCTAACCACTGGGCCATCCTTTTCTCTCTCTGCAAACCATGAGGAGTGAAGCAAAGAGACATGGACCAGACTGACTGAGTAGGGGGGCATGAAAACCACTTTTTCACTGGGATTTGGTGCCAGTTAATTGTAGTGTATGTAGTTGTTATCTAAGGTACAAATTTATGTGGGCCTTTGGTAGAGAGGCCATAAAACCAGGAGAGACCTGTAGAGTATGAAATGGGTGTATAGATGGGACTCTTACCCTAGTCTCAACACAGAAACCCAATTCTGTTCAAAATCTTAGGAAAAGAGCCGCTCCACTGCCTGGCACTGTGTGTAGTCACTACATGGGTATAAAACAGGACCATTCTCATTGGGTTTTGCACCTGCTTTGTGTCAGTGTTAACGTGGTAGTGAAGAGCTGAGTCAGTGACTTCCTACATGAGGGAAATAGCTTGAAGATTAACTCAGCTTGACAGCAGAAAGTCCTGACATCTGTGAGAGGGGAAGGACGTGGGTTAACCAGACCAAAACTTCCTCTCTAACTGTAATCTTAAAACCCCTCAGAATCTCCCATCTGGGCTCTTTGCTTGCTTAATGACTAGACATTTTATTAAAGCTAATGTTAAAAAATTATATAATACACAGGTTAAGAAAAGGGTATCTGTACATCTGGGTATAGTGCTTAGATTATCCACAAATTACTAACGTCCAAAACAACATTTTCTTACGACATTGAGATTGGTAGTTGGCAGTTCTGTGGGCAAAATTAATGTAATCCTGGATGTATTGTTTTGCACAACCCTACAATAACAAATCTGTGTGTAAATGCAATGCAGAAAAGACTTTTTGATGAGGGAACAGATTTTTAGTTTCAGGCTTCCAGCTGGTGATTATAAATGAATAATCCAAAAGGGTTTGAGCTGCTGTGTGTGTAGAACCCCCATTGGGCCATATATAAGAACATCTCAAATAGGCTATCAAAAATCCAGAGTAGGGTAAAGAAAGTAGTAAGCATGCCAGTGTTTCTAATGGCCTAGTGGAGTTTACATTCTAATACAGAGCCGAATCTGGCTTGCTTTACATTCAGAATGAGGCCTGTAGTCCATCATAAGCCTAGGCAGATGTGTCCAGAATTGTAGTTTCACAACCAGAGCAAGGACTATAAACAGTTTCCTGTATGTCTCGTTTCTTGGTTTTTCATATATTATTTTCTAACACTTCTGGTTTCATGTTGTTAGAGAATGCATAGGTGTATGCTCTCAATGAAAGGGAGAAACAAGGCAGTCAGGAATTGAGGGTGAAATTCGTTTTACCCACATAGTCCAAGAAACCAGGGTTCGTGCCGTTGAGGAAGAGAAATCCCCCCCCCCCCGCCATGTCTTTATTCCAACCTATAGGAAGCACCTTTGCTTCCATGATGTATTGCAGATTCTGTATTTCCCTTCCCTGGGATATCCTAGCTAGCTACCATTGTTGGCCTTTGGCACAATCCACGTGGGAAACCTCTCTGTGGCATGAAAGGGTGTGGAAGAGGTTCTAACTGTTGGGAGGGTTCAATGGTTTCACCAGTGACTTCTCCCCTATCCCACACTCAGCCTCAAAGTGGGGAGATGGGAATTGTTTTTGTCCTCTGTGCCTGAGTGAATTTTACCCGCAGACAATACAACAAGTTAAGAATCTGAAATCTACAGGACAATTCTGCGGGAGTATCCTCAATGGGTGAGTGTGAAGTGATTGGTCCCTCAGCTTCACGGTCAAAGTATATTTGTTTCAGTGATGTATATTTGATCCTTGAAACAGCTT